ACCCGCGGCCTCCGCGGGCAGGTGGGGACGCTTCCCGGGCAGCCTGACAATAGCGGCCTTGTCCGGCAGGGCTCTGCCGACCGCCCGCCGGCGTCTGGCCCCCGCGTTCGCCTCTGGTGCTGGATGCGACGTGCCCGCCCAGGAAGCTGGCGAGGACGCCCTGGCCCAGCACAAAGTGACATATTTGGTTATTTTTAGTGGGACATCTGGCATTCGCTGCGACCCAGGCCCGCGCGCCCGGCCGTGCCCTGGGACAGCTCCTCCCGCCGCGGGCCGCTCGGGCGGCCTGTCCTCCGGGCCCCCGCGGACACCAGCGACCCCTGGCCCGTCCAGTCCTGTGGGCCGCCCTGCCTTTGCCTGGACCCGCGTCCACCCCTCCCAGCCCGGGCTGCGGGGGGCTCCCAAGGCCCCACCTGGCCCCCACCTCGGCTGGCCAGGGGCCCCCGGGCGCAGGAGCTGCGCTTGCTCGTGTGGCCGCTGCGGGCTGCTCTCAGCCAGGGCCGACCCCCCCAGTGGAGGGGCTGTGCGGAGGCCGGGGCGCACCCAGCGCCAGGTCTGCCCGTGGCTGTGGGGCCGGTGAGGCCACCGGGCAGCTGCCGACAGTGGCCAGGGCGCATGCCACAGCTCCCGGCACTCTCGTTTCCCCGCCCAGCCCCCCCCAGGGCCCCTCCGCCCCCTCCCCGCCTCCTCCCCTCCCTCTCCCCTCTGCCCCTTCACCCCTCCTCCCTCTTCCGTCCTCCACTCCCTCCTCCCCCCCGCCCCTCCATCCTTCCTCCTCCTCCCCTGGTCCTCCTGCTCCTCCCTCTCCCCCGCTGCCCATCACTCCTCCCTTCCCTCCTCCCTCTGCCCCTCCGCTCCTCCTCCTCCCTCCTCCGCTCCGGCTCCTGTCTCCTCCCTCTCCCCTCCTCCCTCCCTTCTCCCCTGCTGTCCTTCCCTGTTTTCTCTCCCCTCCTCCTCTTTCCTGCCTCCCCCTCACCCCTGCTGCAGATGGCCGCCCAAGGGCAGGCTGCCCAGCAGCGGTGGTGGCCTGCTGCCCCGGAGGCCTGTGCAGCCTCGGCATCTGCTGACCAGCCCTCCCAATTCAGGGTGACGATGGCCCGTCCCCAGGCCGTGCAAGCAGAGGCCACCACGCCAGACCTCCCTGTGCCGCCCGCCCCGTGGCCGCGCGGCGTGGGCTCGGCTGCCGGAGGAAGGGCAGCGCCTGGCCACTCCGGCACTGTCCCAGCCTCACGGCCAGCCCAGCCGGCCCCGAGGAGACGGCACCGGGCGCCTTCCCCTTCGGCGCCTCTGCCTCCAGACCCGGCCCTCGCGGCCGCGCTTAGCTCCCCTAAAAGCCACGCGGCCACGCGGCCACGCGGCCGGGGCTCTGGTGAGTGGCGGACAGACGCGCAGCTGCGGCCTGGGCCTGGGTCCCAGCCGTGGCAGCTGATAGGAATAAGCCGCGGGCACAGGCCCGG